GCATTTATGAGCACAGAAACTCTGAGGCACTGAGGGGGTCCACACAAAGGAAAAGGATTAAAAGGCAAACATGACAATTTCTCTTGTGGAATTAAAGCTGGCTTTGAGCCTGAGCTTCAAATCCCTTAGCCTTGTTTAAAAAGGTTGAAGCACCTCGCAGAAGCAAACCAAGTCTTCTCTAGAAGATAGTACTTTCATCCTCGTCCTCATTTTTGTATATGTGGGCTCCATTTCCATGACTCAATCAAATTGAAAATAGTCATTTTTTTCCCCTTGTCATTACTCCCTAAACACAGTAAAAATTTAGGTGTTGGTGGCTCCCAACTGCAATCCTAGCTACTCAGGAGAATGAGAAATGAGGATCAGGGCTGGGAAGGTGGCTCAGTGATAGAGTGCTTGCCTTGCATGCCTAAGGCCCTGGGTTCGATTCCTCAGCACCACATAAGCAAAAAGAAAAAAGCCGGAAGTGGAGCTGTGGCTCAAGTGGTAGAGCGCTAGCCTTGAGCTGAAGAGCTGAGGGACAGCGCCCAGGCCCAGAGTTCAGGCCCCAGGACCGGACCCCCCAAAAAAAAAAAAAAAAAAAGAGAAATGAGGATCAGGGTTCAATGCCAGCCCAGGCATAAAGTCTGTGAGACTCTTACCTCCAATAAACCAGCAAAGAAGCCTAAAGTGGAATTCAAGTGGTACAGCATCAGCTTTGAGTAAAAAAGCTAAGGGAGAACATAGGCCCTGAGTTCAAGACTCAGTACCAGTACTAAACAACAAAACTCAACAACAAAAACAAAACAAAACGGAGGACTAAAATATAACTCAGTAGTAGAGCTACCTAACATGCACCATGCATAAGGCCCCAAGTTTGATTCCCAGCAATACAAATAGGTAAAATAGAAAAAAAAAAAGTCTAACAAAACTCAAGAGATATTCAAAGCCAGACAAATTGAATGAAATTCCTAGACAAATTCTAATTAACTGCAAAAAAATCCAAATGAAAATTAAATTCTAGAGAAAATGTGGTCATGAGGCAGGACAGACTAGGGAAAATAATGAGAATAGCAACCAGAAATTTAGAAACTGTATTTAGAAACATAGCAATGGGAGGGAAAGCAGGAGAAAATTGTAGGAAGGGGTAATAAAGTTGACAAGAAATGTACTCATTATCTTATGTAACAGAAACCCCTCTGTACATCATCCTGACAATTAAAAAAAAAAAAAACAAGTGGAAAAACAAAGGAGGGGGTAACAATACTCCATAGGAAATGGACTCATTACCTTGCTCATTTAACTGTAACCCCTCTGTACAGTATCTTTACAATAAAAATAGATATTTAAAAAATTAAAAATATATGGGCTGGGAAGGTGGCTCAGTGGTAGAGCGCTTGCCTTGCATGCCTGAGGCCCTGGGTTTGATTCCTCAGCACCACATAAGAAAAAAGAAAAAAGCCGGAAGTGGTGCTGTGGCTCAAGTGGTAGAGTGCTAGCCTTGAGCTGAAGAGCTGAGGGACAGTGCCCAGGCCCCAGAGTTCAAGACTACAACTAACCAAAAAAAAAAAAAATCCTTGCTCTGCGATCAAGGTTAAGGACCCTAAGGTAGGAAGAGTTCCTACCTTTGGAAGGAAGTCTCATAAATCCTCACCTGCATCCAGGGACAGTAGTACAAACCTTCCAGCATTTGGAAGGTGGAGACAGAAGGTTCAAAAGGCCAGTCTTGGGCTACACAGAGAGTTCAAACCTAACCTGGGTTGTGTGCCAATCCAGAAGAGAGCTTTTGCCTAGATCCATCATGATATATTAGGATCTGACACTTCCTAGCCTGGAGAACTACAAGCCCTCTACCATTGAGTTACATTCCCAGGCCTGACACCTCTCTGATTTCTCCACATGTTCTAGGACACAAAACCTCTGAACTCATATAGGAACAAGCATAGAGTACCATAACTGGCATGATTCTTCACACCCACAGGCTTCAAATGGTAGCATGCCTACCTAGCAAGCAGAAGATCGAGTTCAAATCTAGGGAGGGAAAGAGAGGAAAAGGGGGAAGAGGAGACAGACCAGCAATAGTTTCTCAACTCAGAAATGTAGGTGAAGGGCTGGGAAGTTGGCTCAGTGGTAGAGCACTTGCCTTGCATGCATGAGGCCCTGGGTTCCATTCCTCAGCACCACATAAGCAAAAAGAAAAAAGGCGGAAGTGGCCCTGTGGCTCAAGTGGTAGAGCCCTAGCCTTGAGCTGAAGAGCTGAGGGACAGCGTCCAGGCCCAGAATTCAGGCCCCACAACCGGACCCAAAAAAAAAAAAAAGAAAGAAAGAAAGTCACCAGGTGCTGGTGGCTCATGCCTGTAATCTTAGCTATTCAGGAAGCTGAGATCTGAGGATCATGGTTCAAAGCCAGCCAGGGCAGGAAAGGTTATGAGATTCTCATCACCAATAAACCACTCAGAAAACAGGAAGTGGCGCTGTGGCTCAAGTGGTAGAGTACTTGCCTTGAGCTGAAGAGCTGAGGGATAGCCCCCAAGCCCAGAGTTCAAGTCCCATGACCAACAAAAACAAAGTCTCTTCCTGACAAGTGTCTTGATACAGTTATTCTGAGTTATTCTGGGTGGATAAAGAGGTACAGTTGCTTCCTGCTAAATTGTCAGCTAACATGGGGCAGAATTACAGACTCCTGTGAAAGCTGAGAAGTCAAACATCATCCCATCTCCATTCATAGGAGACCCAGAGCACAAAGGATTCCACAAAGGAAATGAAACAGCTCTGCATTCAGTGGTATTAATTGGAAGATTTAGCTGAGAATCATACCAACAGAAACCTCAGAAGCACCTGATGTAATAGACAAGTTAGCAGAAAGAAGGCAGAATGGCTTGAGTTCTAAATGCAAGAGAACAGATCCATAACAATGCCTCACTATATAACCCAGACTGGCCTCAAACTCATGATCCTATTTTAGCCTCCCAACTACTGAAACTATAGGTGTGTGCCAATCATGATGCCCAGCTTTGGACAGAAAACTTAAAAAGGAAATAGAAGAGAGAGAGAGAGAGTGTGTGAGTGTGTGTGTGTGTTAAAGAAAAAGGTTTGAGGGGCTGGGAAGGTGGCTCAGTGGTAGAGCGCTTGCCTTGCATGCATGAGGCCCTGGGTTCGATTTCTCAGCACCACATAAGCAAAAAAAGAAAAAAGTCGGAAGTGGCACTGTGGCTCAAGTGGTAGAACGCTAGCCTTGAGCTGAAGAGCTAAGGGACAGCGCCCAGGCCCAGAGTTCAGGTCCTACGACCGGACCCAAAAAAAAAAAAAAAAAGAAAGAAAGAAAAAGGTTTGAGTATAACTGAATGTACATGTCTAAATTCCAGAAAATCAGAATTAAAGATCAAGAAAGAAGTTAGGCATAGAGTTATAAATTTAGAAATCTGGGGCCAGAAGTGTAGCCCAACTAGTATTTACTGAACAAGTATGAGAGGCCCTGAGTTCAATACATATGGCCAAAAACATTCAAAAGTGGATAGTTTAAAGAATACAATCCTAGCTACTCTGGATGCTACAATCTGGTGAATACCAGGCTCAAAGCTTGCTAAAAAGTCTAAGAGACCACATCTTCAATTAATCAGCAAAAAGCTGGCTAGAGGTGTTGCTCAAGAGGTAGAACACCAGATGCAAGCAAGCAGGCCAAGTCAGAGCACAAGGTACAGGATTCAAGTCCCAGAAAAGAGAGAGAAAAAAAAAAACTTTACACAGAGATAACTGAAGTCACTGAGGAGTTCAAATTCCTCAACTACTTTTCCTCAAACTACTTCCCCAGTGCAAACAGAAGATTTAGATGCAGGGTACTGGATTGTCCAAGTTAGTAAATTCCAAGTAGCTGAGAGGTAGAGATTGGATGAACACAGTTCCACAACAGCCTAGAAGGGGAAAAAAGTTGGTGAGATCCTATCTCAAAGAACCTATGATCTCAGTCTGAGGCCAGTCAATAACTCAAGACACTACCTGAAAAATCACTATAGTAAATAGGGTTGGGGACTTGGCTAAAGTGGTAAAATACCAAACTAGCAAACAGGAGGACCAGAGTTCACAATCACCAAAAGAAAAAAAAATCCACAGCTGAATGATAGTACACAGCAGCAATATATACATACACACACACACACACACACAAACACCTGTATCTCAAAAAGAATACCCAAAGTGTGGGGTATTCTTGACACACAATCTGATTTCAGAGATAAATGTGCAGATCTACATCCTATCACTACAGATTAGACTAAGTACTTTATATACCAAAATGTTATTATCGGTTTAAGCTGTTTTCAAAGTAAGTAGTATCTACTGCTCTTTCTGTAAGAATGAATACAAAGATGCATATTTAGAATCACAATTTCCTAAATCAAGTATGGTAGTACACTTCAATAATCCCAGCACTTGTGAGTTTGAAGTTAGCCTGAGCTATATGGTTAGTTCAAGGACAGAATGAAGTATATAGCAAGACACTGTCTCAAAAACAAAATTTCCTAAAAATTATTCAGTATCAAGGGCATGCCAAGTATACTTGAAATTTCCTATAGAAGTTTATAAGACTTATCATGAGCAAAGGCTAGAGCCAACCTTTATGGGAGAAAAGAGCAAGGAAGGACATGAAACCTTCTTCCTCAAAAGAAAGGATTAGAGTGCCCAAAAGGCCTCCCAATGGGAAAGGATGCAGCCCCCCCCACACACACCCTATTTTTTTTTCTTGCCAGTCCTGGGGCTTGAACTCAGAGCCTGGGCACTGCTCTTGAGCTTCTTTTGCTCAAGGCTGGCACTCTACCACTTGAGCCACAGCACAGCTTCTGGCTTTTTCTGTTTATTGGTACTGAGGAATTGAACCCAGGGCTTCATGCACCCTATGCAAGCACTCTACCACTAAGCCACAAACCACATTCCCAGCCCAGAATGCAGCCCTTAAATACATGAGTACACAAATATGAATTAAAGTTAAGGATTGTGAACTGACAGAGCAAAAACATTAAACTTACTTTTTTCAATGAGCTGGTCCTGAACTCCTGCCAATGCACTTACTGCCTAAAAGAAAGGCCAATGGTTACTACATACCACAGAGAAAAGGAGAATTTATATCCTTTGACAAAGGGCCACAGAAGACAACTCCACTTACAGCTGCTGAAGTAACTGAGGATTTACTGAAGAGTCTCTCAGCTTCCTTAAACTTCCGGTTCCTCCTATCGTTTTTGCTATTGGAGTTTCTAAAACATACAGAATTTTGTTATAAGCATACTGCTATGTCTATACAGTTGGAGCTAGGGATATCCAGGACAGATGGAAGGAACTTATTCTTCCTTTTAACCAAGTTTCACACAGATATTCTGATCCTCATGAATTGGCCCAAACAACCTTTATGTTAAATTCTACATACACAGCAGTACTTCCCATTGTAAAGCTGAGCTTTTATTAGTTACTTTAGAAACATTTTCATTTATATTTTTCTTTTTTTTTTTTCTATCGGTTATGGGACTAGAACTTAGGGCCCAAACCCTGTCCCCGAGAGCTCTTTTGCCCAAGGCTAGTGCTCTACCACTTTGAGCCACACCACCACTTCTGGCTTTCTGGTAGTTAATTGGAGATAAAAGTCTCATGGGGGCTGGGAAGGTGGCTCAGTGGTAGAGCGCTTGCCTTGCATGCATGAGGCCCTGGGTTCGGTTCCTTGGCACCACATAAGCAGAAAAAAAGAAGTCGGAAGTGGCACTGTGGCTCAAGTGGTAGAGTGCTAGCCTTGAGCTGAAGAGCTGAGGGACAGCACCCAGGCCCAGAGTTGAGTCCCCAGATCCAAAAAAAAAAATTTTTTTTTAAAAAGTCTCACGGATTTTCCTGCCTGAGCTGGCTTTGAACCATGATCCCCAGATCAAACTCCTGAGTAGCTAGGATTATAGGTGTGAGCCACCAGTACCCAGCTCAACTATTTTATTAAGAGGCAGAAGGGACTGAGAGACATGAGAGATGTGCATTGCCCAGGGGTGGCAGCAGCCAAGCACATCACTAACCCCTCATCCTACCTGTCCAAATCTCCTTCTTATCCACTTCAATATGCATTTAAGGTTTAAATGAAATAATAACTGGTATAAAAACTAGCTGTGATAACACAGAGTTGTAGCCCCAGCTTTCAAAGGCTAAACCACGAGGACTGTAGTTCAACACCAGTCTGTGCTACATGGCAAGACCAATTAGACACACCAGTGATCACAAAGTGTCTTGTTAACAAACTTATTTTTCACATTTAAGAAATAACCAGGTACTTTAGAAAAATGCCTAGAAGCTGGGTGCCGGTGGCTTATGCCTATAATCCTAGTGACTCAGGAGGCTGAGATCTGAGGATTACAGTCCAAAGCCAGCTAAGGGCAGGAAAGTCCATGAGACTCATCCAAGATACTATGCAGAAAAAGCTGGAAGTGGTACTGTGGCTCAAGTGGTAGAGCACTAGCCTACAGTACAGAGAGGCTCAGAGACAGTGCCCAAGCCCTGAGGTTCAAACTCCAGGACCAGCAAAAAAGAAAAAAGAAAATGGCTGGAGCCAAAGTTGAGTCTGGAACATCTTTTTAAGGCCAAAATTAAACAAAGTGCCCCTCCAAGACTTATTATAAGGTCATATCAGTAGGAAAAAGGAGCTACGTGCCCTTGGCACACATCTACAATCCTAGCTACTTAGGAGGCTAAGATTTGAGAATCATGATTCAAAGACAGCTTGGGCAGACAAGAGACTCTTATCTCCAAATAACCAGAAGGAAAAAAAACACACACACAAAAAAAACAGAACTAAAGGCACAGCTTAAATGGTAGAACACCAACCATGAAAGCTAGATGTGGTAGCATACGCCTATAATCCCATACTTGGAGGATTGAGGCAGGAGGATTGTGAATTGGGAGGCCAGCATGGGTTACATTGTGAAACTGACTCAAAAAAGGAGGGGCTGGAGATTAGGAGGGATATATACCTATCTAGGTATAAACACCTTTGAAAAAGAGAGAGGGAACACACACACACATGTTAATAACTTGTAAATATGGGCTGAGAAGGTGGCTCAGTGGTAGAGTGCTTGCCTTGCATGCATGAGGCCCTGGGTTCAATTCCTCAGCACCACATAAGCAAAAAAAGCCAAAGTGATGCTGTGGCTCAAGTGGTAGAGTGCTAGCCTTGAGCTGAAAAGCTGAGGGACAGAGTAAAGGCCCCATGACCAGCAAAAAATAAATTAAAAATAACCTGTAAATATAGGTGAAGGATATCAACTATTCGGATACTACATTCTTTCAGTTTTTCTATAGACTGAAAAATGACCACATTCATTAATTTGACAGAAATGTATTGCTATAGAAATACCAGGTACAGGTGGCTCCCAGATACAGCAACAACTAGAAATTAAAAACATTAAGGAGAGCACTGCTTGGAAGCCTCATACAGCTCTGCTATGGATCCTTATTTACAACTGTGGGCTCTGTCCAAGGTTACTTAGAGAAGTAGCTGAAGAATCACTGTTCAAGCCCAGACCATTTTTCATGCCTCCTACTTTTACTACTGGCTACCAAGAACATAAGAGACCTAAAACAAGTATTACCAGAGCATCTGACACTCACTTTTGGTTAGTTAGATAACGATCCCAGCCGCGAATAATATTGCCATACATCTGAGTGTCTTCCAGATAGCTTCCTTCAAAAGCATAGATCTGCCTCTCCAAGTTTGCAAGTGTTTCCTGAGAAATAAAAACAGGGACATAGAAAACATGTTTAAACGTGAACATTAAGTAGGAACAAGTTGAAATCTTGCTATTTTTAAGGTCATACACTAATGGCTCATGCCTATAATCCTAACTGCTCAGGAGGATGAGATTTTTTTTTTGGTCCGGTTGTGGGGCTTGAACTCTGGGCCTGGGCGCTGTCCCTCAGCTCTTTAGCTCAAGGCTAGCGCTCTACCACTTGAGCCACAGCACCACTTTGAGCTTTTTTTCTTTTTGCTTATGTGGTACTGAGGAATCAAACCCAGGACCTCATGCATGCAAGGCAAGTCCTCTACCACTGAGCCACTTTCCCAAGCTCAGGAGGATGAGATCTGAGGACTGAAAGCCAACCCAGGCAGGAAAGCCCTTGAGACTTTATTACTCCAGTTAACCACCAAAAAGCCAGAAGTGGAACTGTGACTCGAAGAGGTGCTCAGGTCCAGTTCAAGTCCAAGTAAAGGTATAAAAATAAAATAAAAAATAAGCCAAGCTTATCCACATGAACTATCTTCATATAGAAAGATGTTCAGGGCTATACAGTCTAGACCTGGGGGTGATGGACCTCTTTGTAAACAGAAAGGAATGTACAGAGCCTGTTCGGGGGCGGGGGGGGGGGGGGGGGGGGGGGGAGAAGCATAGAATATCCTTCCCAGTAAAACAAAACTGGCCGTCAAGACAGGACTGAAGCAGAACGCGGGCCGGCGCCCACTCCAGGAAGGAAGGGTGAGCAAGCAGCCTCTCGGCTTCTACTCGCCTCCCCCTCCCCGTAGGCTCCGAAAGGCCCAGAGACCCGGCTGCCAGTTGCTATGGCAACCTGGAAGGGCAGCGGCAGGTGAGAGGGGCCTCCCGGGGCGCACCGCAAAACGCGGGGTGGGGAGGGCCAGGATGCCTCGGGTGCTGGCAGCCCGGAGAACACCCCACGAGTCCTAATTCCCCACCTGCGTGAGGGAGGACGCCGCTCCGCTTCCAGGGGCTCCCGACGGCAACACGCCACCGCTGCCCGCTGCCCGTCAAACACGCCGCCCAACCCTCCGCTCCCGAGTCCCGAGACCGGCGCCACCCTCCCAAGGCCACGGCCCCGCCTCCCACAGCCGCCCCCCGCCCACCCCAGCGCCCACCCGAGCCGCGACGCCGCCGCCCTCCCCCCGCCTGACACCGCCCGCCCGCGCTTCCGCTCGGCCCCTTCCCCCTCCGCGCCCCGACCGCGGACCCGCCCGGACGAGGCCCGAAGCCGGAGGCCGAACCGCCGGCGGGCCCCGGAGCGCACCGGGGAGCCGGCCGCCGCACGCACGCCCGCCCGCCGCCCGCCGCGCTCGCTCGGCAACGACCAGCCTGCGCGGCGGGCTCGACCGCGCCGCCGCCGCCCCAGCTCCAGCTCCTCACCGCCAACTCTTGCTTCCGTTTCACCAGCTCCGCCAGCTCTCGCCGAGTGTCTGGGATCTGCGGAGGTGCCGCCTTGTTATGCATCGCCATGTTGGGTTGAGGCGAAGGCGGCCACGGGCGAAGCACGGCGGGAGGCAGGCCCAGAGCGTCTCCGGTACCGCCCACCACAGAGCGCCACACGCACCGCGCCTGCGTCAAGAGCTTCTGAAAAGGCGGAGCGACGCGACGCGCGATCGAAGGGCGGACTCTTGTGTGTCCCCGGCACCGCCCACCAGCGTGCCTCCTGCACTGCGCCTGCGCACGAATTTTCAGGAAGGCGGGCGAAGCGACGCTTGGCTGGGCCTTGCGCGCCCACTCGCTGTTCATTGCGCCTGCGCGCGCGCCTCTGGCTAGACTGGATGAAGTCTGTAAAGAGCCAGACACTTCTGGCGCGCCGGTGCCGATCCGGTTTTCTTTCCTGCCCCGCGGTTGACCACTGGGTTTTGCAGATCCACCCCGTTCGCCGCGTCAGAAGCTAAGCTGCTCCTCCAGCCTAAATGTTTTATATGTGCCGCACCTTGCTGGCCACCAGATCTCCCTGAAACATCGTCCTCTTCCATCTTGGATTTAGAGCAGAACCCGAACCCAGTCTCTGGACTGCATTCTGGAGGACCGTGCACATCCTCGTGCTTTTGTCTGCTTCTCTGCGACCTCCCTAGTTCATACAGACCCTATTTTCACCTCCCTTCATCCCTTGGCCCCACCTAATCCATTATCCTCAGTGATGCTAGGAGTCTTCCCAAAGCCAAATGTAGCATCCCTCTCCGGTTGAAACTGTATCTGGAGGGTAAATGTACAACATAGAGCCAGAACTACCTTGTTCCTAATCCTGTCTCTACAGAGGGTGGTAGCCCATACCTGTAATCCCAGCCCTCTGGAAGTTGAGGTGGTAGGATCTTGACTTTGAGGCTAATGTGGTTCCAGACTAGCTTAGAATACATAGAGTAGACCTATACACAGAAGAGGAAAACAAACTAGAGAAGTACAGGAAAAGTAAAAGAATAGGTAAAAAATAAGTATCAGGGAGCTGGGAAGGTGGCTCAGTGGTAGAGCTCTTGCCTTGCATGCATGAGGCCCTGGGTTCAATTCCTCAGCACGAGATAAGCAGGAAAAAAAGCCGGAAGTGGTGCTGTGGCTCAAGTGGTAGAGTGCTAGGCTTGAACTGAAGAACTGAGGGACAGTGCCCAAGCCCAGAGTTGAGGCCCCACGACCAGACCCCCCCCCAAAAAAAGTTTCAGAAAACAGCAAAGTGACAGTCAATATGACATAACCTCTCAGTGTTAACACTGAATGTAAATGCTCTGAATTCCCTAATTAAAAAAATAAGGAATGGCCAGCTGTCACCAGTGGCTCACTCATGCTACTACCCAAGAGGCTGAGATCTGGGAATCCTAGCTCAAAGCCAGCCTAGACCAAAAAAAGTCCATAAGACTCTGACCTCCAATTAGGCAGCAAAAAGCCAGAAGTAGAAGTGTGGGTGAAGTGGTACAGCACCAGCCTTGAATGAAAAAACTATGAGAATAAGAGCACAAAGCCCTGAGTTCAAGCCCTAGTACTACTACCAGCACCAAAAAAAAAAAAAAAAGGACAGAATAAGGCCAGATGTCAGTGGCTTATTCTACTCAGAGGACTGAGACCTGGAGGTACATTTTGGAAGCCAGTCTGGCAGAAAGTCTGGTAAGACTATCTCCAATTAACCAGCAAAATGTTGGTTGGAGGTTTGGTTCAAGTGCAGAGTGCCAGTTATGAACAAAAAAGCTAAATGAGTTTGAGGCCTTGAGTTCAAGCCTAGTACGACACACAAAGAGAATGGTAAATTAGGTTAAATAACAAGGTTTGTTGTCTCTAAGAAACATGTTTACAAAGATAAGCATAGGATTAAGATTAAAGGATGGGGGACTGGGAAGGTGGCTCAGTGGTAGAGTGCTTGCCTTGCATGCATGAGACTCTGGGTTCAATTCCTCAGCACTGCATAACAGAAAAAGCCAGAAATGGCTCTGTGGCTCAAGTGGTAGAGTGTTCCTCTTAAGCTGAAGAGTTGAGGGACAACACCCAGGCCTAGAGTTCAGGCCCCATGACTGACAAAAAAATAAAAAATAAGCCAGGCATCAGTGGGTCATGACTGTAATCCTAGCTACTCAGGAGGCTGAGATCTGAGGATGGCGGTTCCAAGCCAGCCTGGTCCATGAGACTTATCTCCAGTAAACCACCAGGAAACCATAAGTGGTTCTGTGGCTCAAGTGGTAGAGTGCACATCTTTAGATGAAGAGCTGAGTGACAACGCCCAGACCCAGAGTTCAAGCCCCATGACTGTCAAAAATTTAAAAACAAAACAAAACAAAAATAAATAAATAAAAAATAAAAGATTAAAGGATGGGAAAGTTTTCCAAGCTCATAGACTCCAAAATCAGATAGGAGTAGGTGCACTTATGTTTAACAAAAAGATTTTAAATAAAAATGAGAAACTGGGCAATCCTGGCTCACACATGTACTCCTAGCTACTCAGGAGCCTGAGATCTGAGAATCACAGTTCAAAGCCAGCCCAGGCAGGAAAAGTCTATAAGACTCTTATCTTCAATAAACCACCAGAAAACGGGAAGTGGTTCTGTTGCTCAAGTGGTAGAGCGCACATCTTTAGCTGAAGAGCTGAGGGACAGCACCCAGGACCAGAGTTCAGGTCCCAGGACCAGAGTTCAGGCCCCATGACAATAAAAAAAGAGAAGAGACAAAAAGGTCAATTCAGGGCTGGGAATGTGGCTTAGTGGTAGAGGGCTTGCCTAGCATGCAGGAAGCCCTGGGTTCAGTTCTTCAGTGCCACATAAACAGAAAAAGCCATAAGTGGTACTGTGGTTCAAGTGGTAGAGTGCTAGCCTTGAGCAAAAGAAGCTCAAGGACAGTGCCCAGACCCTGAGTTCAAGCCCCAGGACTGTCAAAAAAAAAGGGGGGGCTGGAAAGGTGGCCCAGTGATAGAGCACTTGCCTTGCATGCATGAGGCCCTGGGTTCAATTCCTCAGCACCACATAAACAAAAAGAAAAAAGCTGGAAGTGGCGCTGTGGTTCAAGTGGTAGAGTGCTAACGAGCTGAAGAGCTGAGGGACAGCACCCAGGCCCAGAGTTCAGGCCCCATGACCGGATCCCCCCCCCCAAAAAAAAAAAAAAGCTGGGTGCCAGTGGCTCATGCCTGTCATCCTAGCTGCTCAGGAGGCTGAGATCTGAGAATCATGGTTTAAAGCCAGCCCAGGCAGAAAGTCTGTGAGACTCTAGTCTCCAATAAACCACTAGAAAACTGAAAAGTGGCGCTGTGGCTCAAGCGGTAGAGCACTTGCCTTGAGCTGGACAGCACCCAGGCCCAAAGTTCAAACCTCCCCCCCAAAAAAGAACCCAAACTACTAAAAGGAAACAACAGCCTAATGTGTACCAAATATTGATACACCCAAGATCACACAAATACATCTGGACTTATAGCACTAGTACACAACACCTCAACATAATAATAACACCTCAACATAATAATGACAAACCTCAATACCTACTTTTGCTAATAGATATGCCATCAAAACCAAATATATATATATATATATATATATATATATATTTTTTTTTTTTTTTTTTTTTTTTTTGGTAATTCATGGGGCTTGAACCTCAGGGCTTGAGCATTCTCCCCCAGGTCTTTCAACCAGGCTACCACTATACCACTATGAACCACAGCATCACTTTTGGTTTTCTGGAGGGTAATTGGAGATAAGAGTCTCATGGACTTTTCTGCCCAGGCTGGCTTTGAACTACAATCCTTAAATCTCATCCCCTGGAGTATCTTGAATTATAGGCATGAACATCAGTGGCCAGCATAATAGTAATAACAGCGAAAAGCAGGTCTGGAGGCATGGCTAGAATAATAAAGCACCAAGCAAGGAAGTTGAGTTTGAGGCTGAGCTTACCCACCTGTACTGTCCTGCCTACAAAAAGCTACATACCACATTTTTTACTCTCATGAAAAATGAATTTCAAAGGTACACACACATGTACTCTCTCTATATATGTATAAAAATACCATAATGAAATGTCTTAGTATAATTAATATACACTATTTTTTTTAAATGGCAAGAGAGCTGAGCACCAGTGGCTCACGCCTATAACCCTAGCTACTCAGGAGGCTGAGATCTGAGGATTGTGGTTCAAGGTTCAAAGCCAGCCCAGGCAGGAAAGTCCATGAGATTCTTTTTTTTTTTTTTTGTCAGTCGTGGACCTGAACTCTGGGCCTGGGTGCTGTCCCTGAGCAATTCTGCTCAAGGTAGTGTTCTACCACTTGAGCCACTGTGCCACTTCTAGCTTTTTCTGCTTATGTGGTGCTGAGGAATCAAACCCAAGGCCTCATGCATGCAAGGCAAGCACTTTACCACTGAACCACCTTCCCAGCTCCATCTATGAGATTCTTATCTCCAATTAACCACTGGAAAACTGGAAGTGGTGCTGTGGCTCAAGTGGTAGAGCACTAGCCTTGAGCTGAAGAAGAGCACAGGGACAGCACCCAGGCCCAGAGTTCAAGCCCCCGATCAAAAAAAAAGAGTGAAGTAGGAGTGGGTACCAGAGGGACTGGGAAGATGAATGCAGAGGGTAAATGAGAGTTAATATGGTCAAAATATACTTTATCTGCATGTATGAAAATAGAATGAGGCAGGCACAGGTGGCTCATATCTGTAATCCTAGCTACTCAGGAGGGTGCCATAGTAGTAGTGCCTTTAGGGAAAAAGCTCAAGGACAGTGTCTGGGTTCCAAGTTGGAGCCCCACAACCAACGAAAAATAAAAGTAAAAATAATTTTAAAAATAGAGGGCTGGAAGTGTGGCTTAGTGGTAGAGTTTTTGCCTAGCATGCACGAAGCCTTCCCTGGGTTCCATTCCTCAATATCATATACACAGAAAAAGCTGGAGAATGCTAGCCTTGAGCAAAAAAAGCTCAGGGACCTGAGTTCAAGCCCCAATATTGGCAAAAGAAAAAAAGAAAAGCAAAAAAAGAGTGAAACAATTGAAGGGGTTGTAGGGAATAGAGGAAGGTGATAGAGATAGAATTCCCAGTCCTGGGGCTTGAACTCAAGGCCTGGCACTGTCCCTGAGCTTCTTTTGCTCAGGGC